ACACACACAATGGGAGGGCGGGAGGGTCCAATTTTTAAGGTAAATCTGTGGAAATTCCACAGAGTAGGTCTAACTAGTGCAGGGATGGAGGGGAGTGCACCCCCTAGCCCTGGCCAGAAGTGGTGCAGGGAGGGGGGGGTGCTATTTTTCATGGTAAAGCAAAAAATATTAGAGACCAAATGAGATACAGTAATTTGAGTAATAACATGATGATAAACAAACTCTGAACAACAATTACATAATACAATAGTCAAGCAAGACTTTGCTGTAGTCAAGCAAGTTGATGGGCAGTGCACATGACAGACACAACTTGGCACCAGAGCTGGCAGAGCACCGCCCTACCAGATCATGCTGGATCCAATTCCTGAAAGTGACTATAACTTATAGAATAATTTTCCATGCTATGGTCAACAATGGAAGAGAAATTCCAGAGGTATATACGTAGGTTAAAAATCAGCAAGAATTTTCCAAGAAATAGCTACTAATCGACTGCCTCGTAAATAAGGAAATTCCACTACATGACTAGGTCAGAAATTGTCAAGGAATTTCCATGGGATGGGTAAAAAAAAAGATGTGTAAATTTAACAGGGAATTAAGGCTAAAAATTCCATAAAAATCTGTGGAAATTTTACAGGGGAGGCTACAAATTCACTAAAAATTTGCGAAAATTCCAAAGGAGGGGGACCAAAAATAGATGCAAATCAATACTCATTAGGGGAGTTTAGTTTAGAAAAATTTATGCAATGTGTCATAAATATTAATATTATCACATGTATATTGGGTGAACTTTCACATTTTAATCAATAATTCACATCATTCAGTGTAAGGGACTAAATCAGTACACAGATCTTTATAATATCTATCCAATACAAAAGTTAGCTATTCATGTGTTTGGTCTTGCACAAGAAGAAAATATTCAAATTTGACCTCGACAAGTTATTAAATACAAATATAGAATATAAATGAAACAGTGTACACTATTTCAATTGCAAATTAGTAACAGTCAGGGAGGCGAATAAATAGTAAATATGGAAGTATGAAACTTATAAATAACTGGTAGTGGTTACTGAGTTAGCTTCCTGATATGCCATGTAAAAATACGTCCAAAAAATTGGAAAATGTTGAAGCAAATTCCACGTAATGGCGACGACGAGAAATCATGCAAAATCAAGTCGTCGTAGAGACGACGACAACGCAAGTTCATAATACAATATGCAAACTCAGCAAAAAAACAGTAACTTTACTTCCGGGTGGTCGTCGTCATCGAAATGACGCAGTTTGCTTAAGGTCGCTAATATCTACGTTGCTCTTACGTTGTTTTACAAACATTGGTTCAACAGCAGCCAACAGACGTTGAATTAACGTTCATTCTTGGTTAAATGTACGACGTCGATTTGTGAACCAATCTCAACGTTGTTTTAACGTGGATTCAACGTTGAATTATGGTTGACGAGATTGGCAATCTAATTTCAACGTTGTTTCAACGTCCAAACAGTAACGTCGATCCAATTTGCGTAGTCAACCCTTTTTCAACGTCTATCCAACGTCGGAAGGTCATTTCCAACGTTGATTCAACGTTGGATAAACGTCATTTTGCCCGCTGGGCTAGTCGAAATTAAATATTTTAAAGTTTCAAAAACCACAACGGAAAATTCAACTGCACAACACCGTCTAGTGCAGAAAATTGCTTATAATCGAAATTGGGAGCAATTATTAAATCTGTTCAGTTTTTTATACATCCTGTGCATTCTTACAAAGAATATCCGTTTCACTTATTGCAAAAATTACGCAATATGGATATTAATTTTGAGATATTAACACTGTATACTTGTTTGAACTATAGTTACTTGAATTATATGGAACGCTATTATCATTCATTATCATCATTTATATTTAGTATAATTACATAGGTGATTATTGAAAATTCTCCACCCTGGTTGGTTTCCATTCATGTGATTATAACGCGATAATCACCAGAAATGTTTTTTACAATTGCGAAAAGTCGTTTTTGTCAAACTAAGTGATGATAAAAGGTTATTTTGTTGTGTTTTTTTTCAAATATGCACCTATGAATTATACTAAAACAATTGTTCACCTCAGTGATTATCGTGAATAAGAACCTCGACTTCGTCTCGGTTTTTATTCAATGATGATCACCTCGCTTTCGGCGATTAATTGTTAGAAAGATAGTGCAAATCTACACATCTTACATTTAGTTCTCTGCCAATCCTGTGCAACCTTGTGTGACATCAGATTAAGCGTTTATGTTAATGATAAATAACATGGAGATCACAGAGGACGAAGATCAACAGAATGGGAAAAAAGAACCAACATCTACTAAAGCTGACGAAACAAAAGTAACTGAGACACAGCTCGTTGAAGAAACTGATCCAAATTTGAAATATGTGAAACCAGACAATTCCGAAGATTCGGAAGAACGGGGCAACTCTGAAAAACCAGTTGCTGGGAAACCTGATGCTGAAAAACCTGATGATGAAAACCCTGTTGCTGGGAAACCTGATGGTGAAAAGCTTAATGCTGAAAAGCTTGATGCTGAAAAACCTGATGGTGAAAGACCTGATGGTGAAAAACCTGATGGTGAAAAACTAGCTGATACTAAAAAACCTAATGGGAAAACAAAAAATGATTCAGATGATGGTATGAATTACGTATAATATTGTACCAAAATACAAGGCAAATAATATCAATGGTCCATAATTATAAGCATTCTTAAAAACATTATAAAACATGAAACTTTGACAGAATTCTGAATTTGTGTCTTTTCAAAATTATTTTACATTCGAAGGTGCCAGCTCAGTAAAACCTGATGCCGGAAAATCTGATGAAAATTTGCCTAATGACCCAAAGAATGGTATGAAAGGCTATTTTGCTGCTGTATACAGTTATTTCAATTAAGGTTGTCAATTACCGACAATAGTCAAATATACAATATGAGCGCTAAAAGAATGGTGGAAATAATCATAGTTTTAAATAAGTTTAGCATATTAGTAGCTTTAATAGCGACAACTCGCAATGCAATAGTTTCAGAACAATCATAAATTTTGCACACCTCATTTGCATTGCGAGCTGTCGCTGAAAGTATTCACACAAGGCTACCGATATGCTAAACTTATTTACAACTACAATTATTCCCATCATTCTTTTAGCGCTCATATTGTACATCTGCTCTATTGTCAGTGACAACCTTAATTGAAATAACTGTAGAACTCGTATATCATTTACATGTTTAATAACGTCTTGTGAAAAAGAAAACGTCTTCCGTCAAAACACGCCATTCATTCAACTATTCATTCATTGATATCAACCTTTCAACTTTATAAATACTCCCTCAAATTGGAGCAATAATTCAAATTAAGTATTTTCCACATATTTTTTTTTAAATGGTCGGTAAGTTGGGTAATGGTCAGTTTCAAAACCAGTGCGAAAAGCGGTCTAGTCCAAATTAAATATTTTAAAGTCTCAAAAAACGTCACAACGGAAAATTCAACGACCCAACACCGTCTAGTGCAGAAAATTGCTCATAATCGAAATAGGAGATGGTATTACTAAAGTTGTGCGCTCTGCTCTTGCTCTGGCGCGTCGAGGAATTTTGGAGTAGCAGTCCCTCCCCGGTTGGAAATATCCTCGGTACGCCATTGTTATATTTTATAATACCATGGCAACCATTGATCACCATGCATGTAAATACAGCTTACCCCCAAAGTATTATACAACTGATACATCATTTGCATGCCTATGATAATAATATATTAATATTAATACAAGCGATTACTGCATGTACATATAGGCCTAATTGTAGTTAGTATCATTTTTTCAATTTTTTCATTTTTTAAAATATGTCAAATGCACCCTGTCATTAATCATTATGTTATTTTTCAATGCAAATACAAATAATTAAAAAAGTGTTTCGTACTATTAGAGTTTAGCAGCAATAGTTCATCACTTGCAAGTATATACCTGCTATTAGGCATAATAATAACTCTTGTTTACCTGTCAAAACATCAGTTGTAATGAAATTCTAACAATCAGTTCGGTGGAGGGAGCTTTATCAGAATCTTAACTCAACAAACTCGAATTAAGATACTTGATCGAGATGAGACTTCCATTATGGTCCAGAGTTTGAAAATCCAGGATTTAGATGGAGATGGTATAAAATATGATTTTAAAATGGAATAAACCACATTCGTACGCATTTCTAAAAGGATATTTCTTTCCCTTGTACAAGGAAGCAGACATTCATGCCCGACATCGTTTGCGTGCAGCTGGTCGTCCATGTCAAATATTGGCTAAATATAATTAAACTCTTATGGGGGATTTTGTACAGTTAACATTAATTTTAGAATAGTTCATCTTATGCATGCTAGTCCTATATATAAGATTCACAAAGTTTGGACCACGTGGGGATAATCTTTTTTTTAATTTACATTTAAATATAAATGCCACAATATCTCCACATGAGAACAATTATTTTCCTATTGTATTATTCTGTCTGTGGTAATAAATATAAAGATGGAAGACAGACGTTATCGAAGATTAGTATTTGCATAATAATTATATAATTATCGACAGCGTGTGCTGTAAATTATCAGCGTACATTTCATTATATTTTTACTGTATTGTATAAAGCCAGCTGGTTTTATGTTTTGCGCGCTTACAACACAAATAACTATGTTCTATTTTTCATTTCTTAAACGTAGTAAAACCTGAAAACCCTTCTGGTAGGGAGTGTCTTGGAGAGCATTCACTTCCCGAATCAAAGAGAGGGAATGGTGAACCAGAACGTAAAGACCAATCTTCAGAGGCTTTAAAAACATCTACAACATGCAATATCACACACACACACACACACACACACACACACACACAGGACAAAAACTTCAGCACTTACATTACAGGATCAAAATCCTGGACTGACTTAAGTACACAACCTACTTCAGCCTATACTTTAACACGAGCTCGAACAGTCGATAATCATACACTAACCGATGATGAATTAACATCCGCAGACCAAGTCCCTGATTATATTTTGAAAACATTAATGATAGTTAATTACCATGCACGAGAGTTTAAATTAAAACCTTCAACTTCAGAGGTAGATGAGAATAATTATGATTCGGATAAGGATGATGACGATGATGATAAAGATGTTGAAGGTGGGGTCAATCCGATGGATGGATTACTCTGGATTTTTCATTGCTCTGATGATTTTTTGCGGCGAGATCTTGCCATACAATTGTCTGAATGTCAACTTGGCGTTCCGTTTCTTCTGCCAGATCCTGCGGCACCATCTGAAAACGTCACAATTTTGCTGTCGGCTTTGGAACGTATCACCAAATCTTGGAAAGATGGGTCCGATGAAAAAGATGGCGCTTCGCAAGTGTTTGCGACGGAGCATCCATTTCCATTGGTTTCATTCATCCGCGTTGGCAAACCTACGATGTCGAAATCATCCTTGATGCCTTGATGAATAAAGTCATGAGTGATGGAAACAAAGATCACGACTTCTTTTACCATAAGGATATGAAAGGTGGCAACGTCACCAGAAAAATTGTGGATGGATTGCTTGAATTGAGCTGGTATCTTCCTGGTGGAAGTGAGAAGCAAACATTGCAAAATGAAATGTGTTTTGTAAATCTACGAGGAGATGCCAGAGATTTTAAGAAGCAGCGAGACCTTTTGTTGGAAATTTCATCCGTGTTATGTATCTTACTTCCCTCTGAATCCCCAGACGAAACAAAGAAGAAAATTTTGGAAGAAGCAACGCAAAGCAAAGGAAAAGTCATTTTTATATTTAATGGAAAAAGAAAAGGAGACTCAAAGAAATATTTTGATGATTTAAAAAGTGAACACGGCGAAATGTTGTCTTTATCAACGAGGACCAACAAATCTAACGAATATGATTTTCTTCAAAGCATCCGAGTAAATCTTCAAAAAAATATAAAAAAAGTTGAGCCAAAGCCTCTAGTGGAGCTCGCATCTTATGCACATAAATATGGTTTTCATATTGATTGTAAACAACCAGATTCCAGAATGGAATATAGCGTCGATACCTGGCTAAATCAGGGGATCCAAGAAGCCAAAGACACCCTGTATTTGCAAATGCACGTCCCAACTTTGGCGGACTTGGGACGCAAAAAATATTGTCCGAAACGCCAAGTAGCCAAATCTGAAAGTGATCGTACTAAACGAGATATTAACGATATCGATAAAGATATTCAAGCAGAAATAGAGGATCAAATAGAATCTTTTGAGAAAATGGAGGAAGGAATCCTGCACTACCTTAATTGTACTGCCGTCGTGAATGAAACTGAACGAAATTACACCTTAAGTAAGTTAAAACATCGGTTAGACAAGATGTCTCTTCATGTCATGGCGAAATTACGTCAAGAATATCGTGTTGCTTCGCTCAATCTTCAGAAGAAAAGAAAAAAAAGCCAGCAGAAATCGGAAGAATCCGTGGAAAAGTTGGAACAGAATTTGAAACAGTTAGAAGAGTCAATCACAAAATGCTCGTTTGGTTTAGAACACATCATCAGAGAACTTGCGCAACTATATCAACTTCCAGATATCGTGACAATCGACTATGCACGTGCTGCTGCAGAAATGCTACTTTCAGGGCATCCTCTTGAGCTACTAGATGGTGATTCCTCGTATATTCCACTGAAATGGTTTGAAGCTCTATATCGTAAACTAGAACTTAAAATAGCGCATAAAACAGAAAATGCCAAAAACAGGTAAGTCGACAATGTTAAACACAATGTTTGGTTTAGAATTTCCAGTCAGTGCAGGTAGATGTACTCGCGGGGCTTTCGCAAGTCTTATTCCTGTTAGTGATTCTCTTAAATCTGACTCAGGTTATGATTATATTCTAATCATTGATACTGAAGGTCTTAGAGGATCTGGAAATCCTCAATTACGAGAGCACGACAATGAGTTGGCAACGTTTGCGATTGGTATGGCTGACGTTACCTTAGTGAATATCTTTGGTGAAAATCACAATGAGATGAAAGAATTTTTGGAAATAGCTGTGCATGCTTTCTTGAAGATGAAGCTTGTGAAAGAGAAAAAGAAATGCAAAATTATTCACCAAAACGTTGCTGCAACGGATGCTCAAGACAAATTGGCCGTTGATCGTTCAAACCTCAAGGAAGATCTCGATAAAATGGCAACGGTTGCTGCGACTCAAGAAAATTGCGATTAAGAATTTCAAAAATTAAATGATATTATGTCATTCGATGAAAACGAAGACGTGTTTTACATACCAAGCCTTCTGCAAGGTAATCCACCGATGGCTCCAGTGAATCCCAACTATGGAAGAGCAGTTCAAAAAGTGAAAGAAGACATCATTTCGTTGATGTGTTCAAAAGACAGTTCTCACCTTTCGATTACTCAGTTCCGAGAAAGGGTCTGTGGTCTCTGGAAAGCCATACTGAAGGAAAATTTCATATTTAGTTTTCGTAATACGATTGAAGTCAGGGCCTATACGTCGTTAGATCGGAAATACTTTGAAGAATCCGTGAATTTGATGGTGATAGGAATGGCCGAACTTGAAAAGAAAGTTCATGTGGCATTGAGCAGATGCACAAACCGAGACGAACGTGAGAAAAAATGGAAAGAGAGTAAAAAACAAATAAGTAAAGAGGCAGAAAATCTTGGAAAGAAAATGAAAACGGCAATGGAAGTCTTCTTTGAAACCAGCGAAGATAAGGTAACTCTTGAACAGTGGAGAGAAAAAATGATGATAAAAATTACAAATTTCCAAGAAAGTCAAGAGTTGGAGGTCACTGGCAATTGCCAAGCAGCCTATCGTTACTGGGAGAATCGACAAGACGTTGATGAAAAAAAGCAAAGCTATTAAAAAGAGCTCCTTCAAAAGGCTAGAAAGTTTATAACTTCAGCTCATAACACTGATGATGCGGAGAAATGCTTAGCAGCGTTCGATCAAGAATGGGAGAAATGGATGGAAGATGTTCCACCTTGTCAGGAAAGAAGAAAAGACTACGTAAATACTGAAATGGTGGATGTTCTTTGCGAGACAAACCATGCTCTGAGTACGGATATGAATGGGAAATTAGAAAAACAAAAAAGTTTCATACTAAACTTTAAAAAAATTCCTCCAATTATTGATATTAATCAACTTAACATAAGTGTGTTTACCAAAATTTACAATATGATCGTAATTCATGATCAGCAAAGTTCATCAGCAGCCAAGCATTCGATAAGGCGCTTGAGTTGGCGAACAAGACGTTGCAATCAGGCGTTAGATGTACACGCAACGACCTCACACAAATGTATCACAAGGTTATTACCACCATAGACAAAGAAACTGAGACAACCAGCTTTAAATTCCGAAAATCGCTGAAGTGTGATATCCTGCTTTATACATTTGCTCACGCTTACAATATTTTTGATAAAATGGAAGAACGCTATTTCCAAGAACGAGATATTCGAGGCGACCTAGAAAACAACCTGCGACCAATGTTAACAACGTATTTCAAAAATCTTTGCGAAAAGATGGGAAAAGAAGTGTTGGCTGCAACTTCATTCGTTGATGTACTTAAAAAGCCAATTGAATCAGAGCTGAACCAAAGTATGGGTACTGCAGTGGCAATAGACGTAAAGGCGAACAACAGCGTGTTCCAGAGTAAAGGTCAATTTCACGCAAGCGTCCTAATTCAACTTGGAGAGAAAGAAAAATTTAAACCATATATTATTCCTTACCTTTTAAATCCAATTAGTTTTCTAAAAACCGAATTGAGGGAATCGATTGAAAACTACTGTTTAATTTAAAGAAAAAAAAAGACTCCATTATCGAAATTCTGAAAAACGAAGCAAAAAAGATAGAAGCCAGGGTTTTCACAGCGATACCAACGGCGAACAAGCTGACCAAAACCTCGGACGAGAATTTGACATTTTGGATTCAGAGATTTGTGGAAAAATGTTCTACACTTGCAATCACGAAAGAAATGTTCTCAGTGGCTGCAATTGACGACGATCTGAAAGACATTGATGTGTTCGAGGCCAAAGTTCGTGAAAATGTAGAAAAAATTTTTAAATCATTGATCAAGAGTAAAGTGGATCGCGCAACAATGCAAAAATGGAAGCCAGCGCCACATGATCATTTATTAACGTTAATGTTTGGTTGTCAATGTTTATGCCCATTCTGCAAGTGTTTATGTGATCTAACTGAGCAAAAACATTCAGATTCGCACTTTACAAGAATTCATCGCCCAGGAGGTATAAGTGGTAACAGAGACCATAACACGGGAATGTTAGACATCACAATCTGCACAAAAAATGTATATGGTGGCATAAGATTTTCGAATTCGGCTACATCCGGAGAATGGCATTCATACGAAGATTATCAGTCGGTCAATGATTATTATAAATCCTGGTCAATTGCTCCAGATCCATCACTAGAGACATCCACTTATTGGAAGTGGTTCATGGCAACCTTCTCGAAAGATTTGGCAGAACACTATGACGCTAAGGAGCCAGAAATCCCATCAAGTTGGAAAAACCATTCGTTTAGAGAGGTAAAAGAACAACTTCGACATGAGTAGAAACTGTAAATAAACTTTATAGATATGCAGAGTTAGGACAAGAAAATATTTTTCTTTTTTCAGTTATATGTTTGTGTGTGGGAGTTGGCTAATGATCATCTCCATTTCTTATTGGATGTTACTATGGCATGATCATATAAGTACCGTATTCTTTAGTTTGAACATGGATAGTCAAAGAACTGGATAGGAAACTTGTGGTCGCGTGTGATGTTTTCAGCATGCTGATATCGATAGCGTTGAGTCATCATACATCTGAACATTTTAGTCAAAGACCAAATAATTCTACGATGAAATCTCTAACTAAAGCATTCCTACTCAATTTTGGCAAATATTTTAAACACAAACAGTGAAAAATGCATCCCAAATTTCGTTAAATCAACAATAGTTTTTGTGATGCAAATTTCGTTGCTACAAAAGTAAAAAAATCCAAAACAAAGATGAAAAACATTTACCTCAAATACTCTATCGTGGCATAAGCGTGTTTGTAAAACAATAAGACCAATTTAGGCTTCAATATTACTGTTTGAATGCAGAAAATATAGCGAAATAATGAAAACGCTGAGAACCTTAAACTTTAGAATATTCGCAATACTTTTTTGCTTGCGTCAGCTAGTGCCCTATCCATTTATTTTATTATCTATGGTTTGAATAAAAGTATATATAACGATAGTGATATTTCAAAAAACATATACGAATTCCATCTTTGACTCCCTTTGCGCTTACGCTATGACAGTCACCAGGAAGCAAATCTATTGACGATTTTTGCCTAAAAGGGAGCGGATTTTACGCCACCGAAGTCTGGTCTCCACCTACCATCAAAATGAGCTCCACAGTGGAACGTGTACAAAGGAGAGCCACATCTTGGATACTGCAAGCCAAGCGCGGAGAAATTGCATATAAGCAGCGGTTGATAACCCTTGGCTTATTACCCCTGTGCTACGAGAGAGAAATCAAAGACTTAGTATTCTTTTTTAAGGCACTGTATATATGGGCATATTGATCTTGACGTGCATAGTTTCGTTTCATTTGTCAACAATGGCCGAACACTGCTTAGTCAAAACCCTTCTCTCACACTCAAAATTCCTTGTTGTAAATCCAAAACATTTCAATCCTCATATTTCAACCGTCTTGTCAAGTTATGGAACCACGTCTGAAAAAGTTCTTTCCTCTACCACCTTCGCCAGCCTCTCCAGCTTCAAAAGATCTCTTAAAGCCACTTACGCTAACTTGGTTACGGCAAAATTTGACGTGGACATGCCATGCACCTGGACACTGGCGCGCGACTGCCCCTGCTACAGATCTTATGTAGTTTTAATAGACGGTTCCTAGCTCTTATTGTGTTCACTGAATGCAACCACATTATGCTTGTGAGTTTGAAATTATTATGCTAACACATCTATGAAGCATTCAGGTGGTTGTGTTCATGGTGCATACTAATAGGGGAAAGCGGCTTTTTATATTTGTATTTTATGTATGTGTGTATTTATATTTATGTATGTATTTCGCTGCTTCGGGGTTTGCACCTTGCATGGGACTTCGCGTCCCGTTTGTGCTTATGCCATTTGAGTACATATTAATTATACATAATATATTAATTATATGTAATTATATAATTATATATAATATTAATTATATAATGTAATGTTCTCAATAAAAATATTTGAAAGACTTGGATTTTCTAAATATTAAATAATAGTACACAAGATCGCAGTATCATTTAACATGAGTTATGGTAATATTTTTCGAAACTACTCTTGCTCAATCATTGATATAGGTTTTTCCTCGAAATGCCTTTAGATAGAAATATGCAATAACCTACCATATATAAGTTATAAATTGTTATGCACTTAATTTTCGGGTAATTTTCCATTACTAAAATTCACTAAACCATACCGGCTAAAAAAGTGGTCTTCTACTCTTCTTACAAAATATATCCGTAGCTATAAATATCGTTTGCAATGTTAATAACCGATTAAAAATTTAGGTATATCTGATTTATACACTAACCATGTTCAATTATTTCATAAGATCCTAACCAAGCCTGTTTTCTGATAAGTCAAGGAATGTAACTACATGTACAAATATCATCATGCAATCCTATCACATGCACTGCAGTAATTACAATCATTATACACCACATTCATATTGCACGAATGTCTTTATAATCTTTACAATAATGCATGCACTAATTAAACACATACATGCATACACACTTGCATTCAGTATATATCGCTGGTCACATCAAACCTTCCTTACTGGTCTGAAGTTCTGGATCTTCAATCAACTATCAAATCAGCTGATTCTGGTGGAAAGCAGTACCGAACGAAGAGCAACCAAATAGTATGTAAAAGATTTTACATTTTTCTTACAAGGAACGCTTAGCTTATCTTAAGTTAGTTATTTAGTTTATTTAAACTTGTTGCTTATAAATTATTGATAGACTACAATTTAAAGAATGATATAGTCTTTTTTGTTAAATATTATAACTATATTTATGGCCTATATGCACAATTCCCATATTAAATGTGAATGACTAATTTTACGTAATAACTATGTCATATATCACATATAGTTACCATAGAAGTATAAAACATTAGAATTAGAACATTTACAGGAGATATCATCAGAACAAAGAATGACAAAAAATTGGTGGTCCGATAATGTGTCGAAAGTCGTGCTGCATTTCCAACAAAAAGTATTGATTAACAGACAAATTGTGAAATTGTAAAATTTAAAGTTGTTTATCTTCCAATGAATCAATAATTACGTTTGCTTTCGCACTCGTTGACTTTGTATTTTCTAAAACAAAAGAATCATACTTAATATTCAAGTAATTAATCAACTTTTCCAGCAAATCTGCCTAGAAATTTGAGATTTTTTCCATTAAGCATGTGTTACAAATGTCATATTTTTGTTTGTCGTTTCGATTCACAACATTCTACAAACACGTGATGTGATCAATAATATCGTGGATATGAAAATACTCTATGAATAACATACTCGTCACATCTTTCATCCAGTCTGAACCATCAACCAGTTTGCAACAAATCTTCAATACTTAACCTTCCTTTCTAAGTGTACTGATGCCTTAATCGAGCCAGGACGACTGTTCGCCGTTTGCAGTGCCAATGAATAAAGTACGATTGAAATACAGACAATTTACATCCACCCAAAGAAAGTGCAGTGTAAGAATCATAAACATGCAGGAATACAGTTTGATTACGTCCATATGTCGACGAATTGAAGATTACAAAATGAACTATTTATTTCGTGAAGTTAAGTTTGGTTCACCTCATTTGCTTACCTGAAGTTAAACGAGTATTGAGATTTCAACTAACGGTTAGTATTATGAACTTGTTTTTTGAGAAATTTAAAAGATTTCAACAAGCTTGGGTTCCTAAATATAAACTGTGAAAGAACATTAACAGTCCAGTATCGTGTTATTTTAGGTGGTACAAAAATATTCTGAATATAAAACCAACGGTTACAAAGACTATACGTCGTTCTGTCATAATCCACCAGAAAACAGATATAGCAAAGTTATAAAGCTAATCAACAGGATCTACTCCCTATTAAGAACAAACTCCGTATTTTGACATTGGATCGAAAACATCTGATGTCAAAAACCATCACATCGAAATGAGAGAAATTCTTGGCAAAATCTTTATAAAACAAAAAATAAACAACAAAGAATGCACGTTTAAGTTATATCTGAACCGAAATGCATAAAGAAGTGGTGGACCATGCAATGAAGAAAATAAGTTCGAAGTCGACAAGCTGAGTGCAACATTGAATGAAAATTGAAAGTCCGCCACTAACTTACATCGCTACTTATAGACACCTTACAAACAAACTTATCGAATGGTGTACGCCATGACCTCGTTGTTTTTGAAAGTAAAGAAAAGAACGAAGGAAAAACAAATATTGAACATGAAATCAAGTGTTGTATAATGTCGTGGTCTGTTAACTAAAAACGGAAATGTTTTTCAATTAAAATATCAGTCCTTTTTTCGCTTAATTTCTATTTTTTCATTGCTTGGCAGTTTGTGCTGGAAAAGTCTAAAAATGACGTCTTACACATCTGTTTTACAATCAGCAGTAAATATAACTGAATTGACTTTCCAACTGTTTTCCAGTCTTTTGATGTAAAAAAATTTAATTGATCCATCAAATTATCGCAGCAATGTAAGCCAAAACGAGTCAATGAAAAATATATCAAACTAAAATGCAGTAAAATTTTTCAACATATCCTGGACTGACCACCGCTTTGAATCATTGTAATTGTTTAATAGTATTGTTTCTTAATTGCATTTCATTAATTTTATTAATTCAGGCAACAACAATGTAAAAGTGAACATATATAGTTCAGTAGTTCACAAGTAAGCAATAAAAGCATTGTCATTGTTTATGATAGTTTATTTATGCTCAGAATGATATTCCACTTTCGCATCTCAGATAAATATAAATAGTAGGCCCGTTAAAGGTTAATAAGAAAGTGTAAAATCAAGTTTATATTGTCAAAGTTTCTGTGATCACAATGGGGATTTTACAAAGGATAATTCTAAGATATAAAGGATTAATCATACGTCAGGGTGGGCTGGAGGAAAATGAGCAGAAACGGTGCAAGTTTTCCATGACCCCCCC